TACACTTGCGACCAGTCCTCCATACAACTGGAACATAACACGGAAACCCCAACCCCAAAATGCGAAATCAAGAAAACCAAATTTTTCCATTTTACATTGAATGAAATATTAACTCTTCTGTGCGCAGCTTTTTTACCCATAGTTCTTGGTATCTATGCTGCAATAACCACTGCACAGGAAGGAAAAGTGGCTGATGAAAGACGACAATTTGATTTGGAACAAGCAGCTGAATTCAGACAACAAGCGATTTATGATAAATTTTTAGATGATGTTTACAAATTAGAGAAAGACGGTTATTTAAATGAGGAAAAAAATCCATGGGCATTTGCCAATGCTCGTTTTCGTGCTGCACATCGCGAATGGGATGCTATACGTAAAGCAGATATTTTGCAATTTCTCAAAGAAAACCAATTAATTGGTATAAAACCAAGCATTAAAAATCGTGCAGTTAAGAAAGGTGATAATATAATTCGTCTAAATGATTTAAACTTCGATAATATAAGTTTAACAAGTCCAACTGGTTCATTAAATTCATTAAATCTTGAATATGTTGTATTCGATCAAGTATCAATGATCAATGCTCGATTCTCATTTGTCAATCTGAGAGAAACATCATTTAGCCATTCACGATTAAATAATGTCACGTTTTCAGATTCATCATTAGCTTATGCTAGTTTCGACAGTACAGAATTGAATGGAACAGACTTTGGTAATACAAATATGATAGGTGTGGAATTTTCCAATATTGATTTGTGTACAACAACATTAACAGAAATACAACTGCAACAAATAGTATTTACAAATAGTATATTACCAAACTCAACAATATGCGGACAAGAAAAAACAACCAGCAGTAAGCTATTCAATTTACGTCACATATCAACTGAAAACATAATTCTTTTCTAGCACCAAGCATAATAACGATATCGACAACAGAAGAACTTCCTACATCACAATCAAGTAAGAAAAAAAAATTAGTGCTAATTTAAATAGATTTTTGAGAGAACTAATATCATATAGTTCGTGATTATTATCGACTTCTAGAGAATGAATTCCATAAATAATTAGTTTATCATGTATATCGAGTCAAATCATTCAATCAATGAAAATGTTTTTTTCTTTGGTATTTTTCGCTGCAACATCAATTGGTGCTAACTAAAACATTTCATCGCTTTTTTAAAATACTTTGACGGTTGATGGAATATCGCCACTTACGAGGGAACATTCCCAACTGTCACATCGCTTTTGAGTCGAGTGTATGTGCACCATGTAGGCCCTAATGATCTATGAATACTCTGAAAAAAGTTCGTGCTGTTAACTTATTACTGCCGAGATATTGCATTTTTACTGTATGTTTAAGCAAAA